GAGAGGTTAATCCCTAAATCTTTGTTAATCAACTGAACTACACACGTGCGATCGAAATGATGCAATGCTTATACTGGAGATATGGATAGTGGCAACAAACAAAAAGAGGCAAGGGAGGGTGAGAGGGGAGAGAATATATATATAGCACACAAGCCAACACAATCCGCCTCGCCGGAGCTGGTGGGCTTTGTGCGTCGGTGGCACAGTGGTTAGGACTCTCGCCGACCATGCACATGGTCCGGGGTTCGATCCCCTGCCGGCGCACACCCGATATCTATGGTATGCCTGAATTTGGGCAACCGATATCCATGCTGAAAATTCCACACTTGTACTGAAAATACGGTGTGGAAATCAAGCTGTAAATCAAAAATAAAAAAAAATTACTTCACTCGAAATTGTGCAGACAAAAGGTTCAGAGGGAAAAGAAGGTAATTTTAACACCATTTACAAAATAAATTGCATATAGGAACTGCGATAAACATTACATCTATCGGTTAAAGTGGGCGTCCCCTTCACGTTCGAATCCAACAACACAAGTCCAATGTGAAAAGGCACGATATATGTTCTTTTATATCGATGCATGTAGATAGTTACGGAGACGAATTTGATTGGGATAATGCAGAAATCTTAAATAGAGGAGACACCAAAATTTCAGTCAAGGAATTTCTAGAAGCCTGGTGCCCAAATGTATCAGCCAGCGATTAACAGACACACTTCTTCTTACTTCTTATTCCTTCACGTTCCCCAGTGGAACATAGGGCTTCAAGCTACACACTACTATAGACGAAATCTACTAAGTAATAAAACAAAATATGAATCATATGACGAAAAAGTTGAAATTCCAAGTGAATACAAATGATCAGGAGATATGTAAATTAACAAGACCTGATCAAACCTCTCTCACAAAGCGAGTGAAATCAAGGCATCTGGATGGGTATAGCTACAGGGGGCACTAGCCATCCAAAAGTTCAAACCCATGCTATGTATTCAAAAGAGATGCGTCCAGTCGTTGTCTCTACCATGCCATGGCCAGCATGAAATGTCAGTCCTATCAGCAATGATTATATCACCACCTTTCTTATCCAATCTTCCTGTTTATTTCTGTGACTTTTACGTTGTTTCTTAAAATTCCTATTGATTGCACTTTTAATCCCTAATCGCGCACAAAACAATCGAATTTCTCGGTAATTATGATCCTACTGTTTGTTTTTTTCTCTGATCTTCATGATTACTATACTTTGTAATTTTATTAATCTGAATCTTGACAGACCGGAAATAGTTCTGGAACTAACTTTCTCACCCATTAACTACATAAATGCACCAGTGTACAGCTTACTAGTTGCTGGTGACTTAATCGAAGAAAACATTTCCTTCGTCGCTGTAACCGTTTTCTTGGTAATTTCTATGATCTAATGTAAATATTACGTGAAGTTAGAGGACTTTCGGTGTACTTGTCCGCCTAAACTACACTTATCGTTATTTCATTCCTTTTGCATTATTCCTAGTGGATTCCAAGGGGTTTCAAGTTTGACCTTTGAAGTTGGCTAGCGAAGCTGTTCTACTTTTAAACCAGGTAGACTGCTAGCCTGACTATTCCGTCCTTGCTAGTCTTACTGCTAGATAGGTGAATTTTAGGAGTGTCTCGGTGTGGGGAAGGGGAACTGCACCCACATGTGTGTGTTTGGCGACTATTCTACCACTATATCACCATTTCATCTAAACTATATTGCTGTCAGTAAGTAATGTACGTTTTCTACTGAAAAACAAAATGATTAGCTTAAACAAAGTCTAAAGTACTAATAGAAGTAGTAGTAGTAGCATTAGTACAACAGTTTACTTTCTCTGAAAAGATATAGTTTTTCTGTAATTTGTACACTAATTATTAGGCACTTATTATTATTTACTTATCACTATTGTCCTCTTGGGTTCCCAGTGGAACATACGCCTTCAACAGCATCACATCTTCACTTCTATTTCCTGCAGTGGTCTTACTACTCAGTAGCTGACTGACTCCACAATTAACTATAGTCTGACCTTTCCTCCAACTCACACGATCTCCTCCATTTCGCCCTCAGAGAAACACTCAACTCATCGTTTCCCATTAGGGTGACACTCGACTGATGGCCTGCATTTAGCGTGATATCATTTAACAGTTTCCTCAGTGTGTGCCCAATCCATCTCCAATTTCTCGTACATATTTTTTTACGGATGGGTTCTTGGTTAGTTTGTTCCCACAGCTTCTTGTTGCTAATTCTGGGCTGGCTGGTCATTTCACCTTGAGCCAGCAGAGGCAGAAGCTGATGATAAGACTATGCAGCTGGCTGCTGGGAAAGCTTTTGAAGAAAAGCGCACCAGGTGTCACACACGCACTACTACAGACCAGATTTACCAAGTAATAAAACCCGACCCGATCAATAACTGCTAACTTGCCGTGGTGGTCGGGCTTGAATGCCGCAGTGACCCAACAAGCTAAACTGGCTGGGACTCATGTTCCTGCAAGTCCTACCATGTCAGCAAGGTTGTTTGGATAGCGGTTAGACTAAAAGCAGTTACCATGGGGTACATGGGCTCCAGAATTCAATCGGATCAAATGGCGTATGAACCCATATGGGTCACCGGCAACCATGGGGACGCAGCTCCACTGCCTTGCGGATTAGACTCCAAGTCAAAGGCTCGGGGGCTGGTCCCCTAGGAAAACCACCTGTTTCGGTCTGGGCGCCCGGGCAGTATCTCAACCCTCACACAATATTGTGTGGCGCATCTTTCTTGGTGCCGTATTGTACCAAGTTTTTCTGCGTTTAAATAAATAAAATAAATAAAAGTAATAAAATAGATAATAAATCATATGACAAGAAAGTTGAAATACCAAGTCGACAAAATAATCAAGAGAGATAGACGTGGAATCTCGTCCAAGGGTGACGTGAAGGAGATCGGGCGAGGAGGAGATAAGAGATTATAGGCAATTGTGGGGCCAGCTGAAGAGGACAACATCAAATAGAACAAAGTGAAGATGTGTTATTGAAGCCCTATATTCCTAAGGGAATAATAATACCAAGATAAAGGTTGTATGTCAGCAGATACACATATATCACATATATCATCCATCATTCATGGGGAGTTCAAATAAGTTCACTTCATACTGAAATCTGCCCTGAAGGGATGTTGTCTAGAAGGTGGACAACGAAAGCTTTACAATTAAATGTATAACAACTTCCTAAAAGAATACATACAACTAAATCATCAATGTATTAATATTTTGACAGTTCAGTGACTGAAAAGCACGGATACACATCCACCACAACTGAAACTATATCTGATTTGTGCACAAGACGTTTTTTACATGTGGTGCATTGTGCAACGTGACTGTAATTCCATTTTGGAAAACATTTTTATTTTGATAAAGTTTCACAACATGTTATACAGTAGTAATATTCACTGATGAACACGTTTCCAGCAGAAGAATTTATTACCGCTCATAATCATTTCAAGGTGGAAAATGTAGTTCTTAAAACATTTAATCCTACTCCAAAGATATGCTGGAGATATGTGGATGTGACACCTTTACAGAGTTAAAAACATAACGTATCTCCAGTTTCTTCACACACATAAACTTAATAGTAAAGGGAATAAAATTCACATTGGAATCAGAAAATGAAAAAGGAGAAGTAGCCATGATGTTACATTGTAAAATATAAAAAACGAACAGAAGAAGGTTAGCTACATACACTAATGCTTATAAAAAGCCAACACACTACAGTAGATATTTAGACTTTAACTCATATCTCAACCGGTAGCTGTGAAGGCAGACTTAATTGTAAGTGTCCAACAAACCAACCAATAACAACACCAAGTAGTACATCAACAAACACCTAAATGATGTAATGAAACAGAAGAACACGAACAAGGGAAAGGAGCGTCGGTGTTATTCATACAGCTATCTTATAAGATTCATTAGGAGGATCAAAACCCGTCAACAGCAACATAAAAAATTATGATGAAACTAATTATGATAACATAAATGAGAAAGAATATAAGGCATCTACAGCAGTTTTACCACATGAGGACGGGAAATATAGGATGCGACATGTAGGATTCTTAATGAAGCAGGTATCAGGGTGGTGGCATTTAAACCTAAAAATTCACTCACTCACTCAGACAGGACAATCTCTGCAGATAAGTTAAACGACCCTGTAGGTTGACACAATCACAAAAAATAGTATAAATATACAAATGCCTTACAATGACTGTGAGTCAAGTAAACTAACTGCATAGGTCAGTCAGTCAAACCAGTAGAACGTGGGTGGTAGTCAGATTGTCAGAACATAAGGATTTAATAGCTAAGTACAGAATGATTCACTCTACCAAGATAAGTAATTTAGAAAGAAGAAAACTCAGAAATTGTACTACATTCATTAACACACAATTAACCACAGAATACGGTGGGACAGAGTTACAATTCTCAAAAGTATGATGCATAGATGGAGAGAAAGGGAGAGAGGTTGACTACTGACTGAATCTTTTTTCATCGAATAATCTACAACCAACACAACACATGCAATAGGAATCACTCATCACCACTAGTACCAGTGATATTAGAAAATACTACTAATACTACCAATCAAATGAAGAGATGAGAAATAATGAAATTATATATACACGCAGTCAGAAAGTTGTATGAGTAGTACTTTGGTATAGATTATGAGCAGCAGTAATAAAAGTTGTGCTCGAAACGTCGTCATCAATAAATAGTTACTGTACAACACGCTGCGAAACTTCATCAAAATAAAGAATTTCTCCATTATGGAATTATACTCTACCACAGTCCCCAAGTTGGTCTGTTCTTATATCAATGATTCAAAGTAGAGTCCCTGGAATATCCCATAGCCAAACAGTCCAGAATTAAAAATAACACCTTGGTAGAGGCGGAGGACGTGGGGAGGGAAAGGGAAAATGAAAACCACAAAATACAACTTAAAACAAGGGTTGAGTAGTTTACTTACTCGTAATCCTTGCCATGGAAGACTGCCTCGAAGGAAATACATCAGCACATAACCCAAAGATTCCATATCATCTCTTCGTGATTGTTCTATACCAGCATGTGAATTTAGACTGGCGTATCGAGCTGTACCAATAAGCGACTTGTCTTCTCTGTAGACAATATGTCGACGTGTTCTATGATCTCTGTGATAAACAAAAAAGCATCATTACACACAAAATAGACAATTGAAGAAACCCAGCTAACTCTACTAGCGATTATCATGTTGCATAGGATGATTTTAGGTGAAATATCCGATAGTGAAATAATAGCCAGTATTGGTAAATAAACTCCTATCCAGAACAATAATGCTTTATGTATCGCGAATTTCACCCCACTTCACCCAAATAAATGGCTAGAGATTAAATTAGAAAAAGAAGACATAAACAGCGAAAACTATTTTCTTTTCGACGATTCATTTTTATGAGATAATAAAATGTACTAAAATTACGGTAAAAACGTTACTCTGACCACGGTGGAACGAGTAGTGCTTTTAAACGCAGAGGTCCGCTTTCAGATCCCGAATAGCCAGTGAGTGATTCGGCTAATATACAGATGGCGTTTTCGAAGCCTTTTCATGCTATATTCAGGAACTCTGTAGAGAGCTGTGAAGCAGTCAGGGAGGGGGCAGCTCGATGTCCAGAGTTGACAAGATGTTCGTGGATAGAACTGATTGCATCCTTCTTTTCCTCCATTTTCCTAGCCAAGCTGGACACTGAGTATTCCAGAATACGTTAGCAGACTTGACATTGCGTACGGCCAATATACATTGCTCCACACGAACAAGTAAACTGATAAATACACAGTGAGGTGGCCAAAAGCGGTATCTTATCCTACCATAACCTTACACTGGATTAGCTGTCTGCTGGAGAATGTGATGTGTGATAAGGTGGCTGCTCGAAATGTCTTCTTCAGACATTGAGAATGTCAGTTTCTAAGATTCTCTGCTTCAATGTGTCACCTTTGAGTTGTAGGGTCATGAAGAGAGTTTTCGTAGGAAAAGTTGAGAGTTTTGGCAATGGAAGCTTTCCCTTCATGTTTTTATCAATGAATGACGGTGGATACCTGTTCTCCTCCAGTAGTAGGGTTTCACGTAATGAATTTAATTCATACTGTATCTTTAGTGTCTTCCAAATAGATTTTTCTAATACTTGAGCATAGTAGGTTTTTCTTTCAGATTAGTGGGACGAAGCTCTGGAATTTGTTAAACTGTCCAGTCCATGTATGGTTTGCGATATATTGACCTTTGGATTGTTCAATCGTATTCCTGGCAAGTAGTACATCCAAGAGTCGAAATGGCATGTTCGATTCACGTTCTAGGATGAATTTTATTGATGGATGTGACGCGTCGAAGGTTTTGAGGAGATAGTATAAATCAAATGTTGCGTTGCAAATTATAAACGTAAGATGTACGTATCTCTTATATAGGTGCAGTTGACTGGTCAAAGAATTGAGGATGTTGTTTTCAAGACTCGCACCATGAAGCTAATAGTGGACCGAGAGGAGACCTCATAGCTACACCATCTTTCTGCACGTAGAATTGTTCATTGAATTTGAATTGGATATTTAAAAAGAATTAAATAAACTGTAATGCCACTTCTGGGTAAAAAATGAATGATGATGACGCATATCTAGTCTATGTTTATGTAATATAAGAAGGAATTGGTGAAACTGCATCAATTGAGAACCGTTACAACACGGGTTACGCATGCGAAGCCATCACCTCCCTCATCTAGCAATATTAGTAGGTGACCTAAGATTAGGTAGAAGTTAGACATACAGAGTCTTGACTAGAATAAACGGTGCTTGGTGGAAACATGCCCGCGAAACTCAGTCGGCATTTAGGCCAGGAAGACAGAGCGTATTGACCACATATCTTCACTCTTTAACAAATTCTGCATCATGGGTACACGTACCGGCACCCGAAACTTGCCATATTTCTCGTCACACTAATAAAGACATCCAACTCGAATTCATGAAGCCGAGTAACACCTTGTGGTGTCCATCCGAGGTGCCCAATGTCCGCATTTCTGTTTAATTTTATTATAAGTGTATTAACGGAATTGAATGTAATTCACTTTAGCGACTGGGCGATTGACTTGTTAGCGAGGAACAACAGTCTAGCCGACTTCGAGTATACGGATGGCATTGTCCTTCTAGGCGAAGACGCGGAGATAAAGCAGTCTTCTTAATACCTTGAACAGAAATCTTAGTATCGTTGGTACGCGATTAGCCCCTTTTAAATGCAAGAAGACGCTGTACAGTTGTACTACAGCCAATTCCTGCTAAAAGATAAGAATTGGAGTGTTGGAGAGTGTTAACCATTTCATTTGCTTTCGGAATTTGCACCAACCTCAGTGCACTGATTGCTAACGAAGTCCCAGCATGGATACAAAGTCTTGTGTGGTTTCTGCCAACCTACACGTAAACTCCGGCTCAAAAGTGATATCCAGTTATCGACCGAAGGACGTGTGCACTAAGCAGCAGCAGTACGCTCTCTCCTTCTCTGCGGCAGTGAAACATGGTCATTAGAAGTGGAAGAATTGAAGAGGCGAGATGACTTTGACCACATGTGTTTGCACTCTAACTTCTGTTTTATGTGGTATAATAAATGGTGAGTAATATTGAATTAAGGCGTGGAGTACCAAGGGATGCGGAGGGAAATCAATCGACTGGGACAAATGTTACGCATTCCGAACTACCGCCTTCCTCGACCAGCAATGTTTGTAGATATAGGATTAGGTTAGAAAAGAGTTTGAGATGGTTGAATCAAAACCTGGCATCAATTATTGTAATCTGTGATTTCCGTTTTGAGCCATATAGGGAGAGGTGTGGACTTGTTGGTTGGCGTCCTTAAAATGCTAAGAGCCAATGAAGGCTGGAGACAGTTTTATTAGTAGGGTGCATATGCATTCTCTATGTAATCCTTCAAGTCCACTAAATCTATGTTTAATAATTCTTTCTCCCATGCATCTCCGCTTATTGTAACAGTTCTTTTGATTTTTTTTGTGGTAGCTTGAACTATTACACTTCTGTGCAACTGATGAACAAACTGTAATGCAATATAAACCCTGCACATTCTTCGGCATCGTGGGACTTCATGAATACCCCATACACACAAACTCATGGTATTTCCAAACCACTAAACCCATCAGCTTCAACATTTAAAATCAGTTACCAATGTTGGAAACACTATTTTGCTGATATAAATTTAAAACAAGCAACAAAGGTCAATAAAACAGGATTTATTGAATTCATCAAATTTCGGTAAAACTCAATTTGCCATATCAATATCAATACTCAATATCAATGTGCCATTCAAAGGAGATGATGTATACAATTCGCAGTCAAAGGAAGACCCGATAAAGCTATCAAGGGGAGTTATTATGCTTCAGAACTCATCTTCCTTAATACCACCAAGCAGATGCTTTAACAATCTGAGAAAGACCGCTATTCGCCAATCATCGACTCTTCCAACTGACTACATCAATTTGAGTGTGTTTGTGGAAGAAAATACATACGTCGTACAGAAAGCGATTGTCCACTCGCATGACAGAGCATTTGTCAAAGTGGTTGTAAATAGCTGAAGTCAAAGTACCAGAAAGTTCAATAACAAAGAACCTTGGGGATTACAAACATGACATTAACACTGTCAGGTCATTCACTGTTGTCAGCAGGCAAACAAACAGGAAGATGCTTGCGATTCGAGAGGAGGCTTGTGCAGTTGAAGTCTATAAAGCAGGTCTCAGTATGTAGAAGCAAATGGTCGTCACTGTGAATCCACCATGTTTCACTTATTAACTGTTATTATTATTATTAATATTTTGTTGACACTCTTGTCATTACTATTTCTGATTCATTTAAAACTATCTTTTACCAGTACCATTATTTCAACTCGTTTCAACATTGTTATTATTAATACTATTTAGTTCCGAATTCTTGATATATTCAAGTTCTTTTACTTACTGATAGCTAACAAATTGTTTATTTGAGTGATGTAATTGAACCGTATAATGCATTTTATCTTAATTTTATGTCCCTGCATTTTTAGAGTATCAGTCCAGCTCAGAAAGAGTTCTATAGACATTTGATGAGTTCATTAAATCCTGCTCTATTAACTTTGGTTGCTCATTTTAAGTTGCCAATATTATTATAGTTAAATGCTTCACTTTTTAAACCAACAAACTGTAAAACTCATTACAAGCTTCGCTTCACCCCCCTCTATCTGCCACTTCCACATACCCCACTCAACCTACTGTTAGTGTTAATTCTCATCGACTGACGTTTCTAGTGTCGCGTGAATCAGTAGGCATATTCAGTACAGACATCACAGCTTCTTTACGGTTAGTTTTGGGTATACCTCATTTGAAAACACAAAATAACCAGACGTATTTTTGCACCATTTAGCAGTGGCACATGGTTAACTAAGGTAAGTATGAAGTTCTCTAAGTGTTTACCAACGAATGACTGACTGACTGGTTTCAATATAGAACTTTGTACAGCACAGATGTACACCACTTCGAGTTGCCACTCTCCATGCTTTATGTAGCACACAAAGCAAAAGAAGAGAGCAAAGAGAGGTTCAAAAGACAGAAAATTAATACAAATGTGAAGGGAAAAGAATAGAGTCTTACTGGATATGACAAATCACAAAGAGTGAATGCTTATGTACCATCATCGAGAACGACAATTTTAAGTCAGCTACCATTGGTTCTTACCATCATCCGTGGACTCCAACCAACTAGTCAGGAAGCCAGTCTACACCTCCCTACGTGGCTGGCTGATTGGCTAGCTTAAACTAACTGTTGTGATGGATTTGATTGACTGATGAAGCCAGCCATGTTTTGGTTTGCTAGCTAGCAAACTAGCTGTTTTCAAACATTATCCATCTTATTTCAGCTGAGCTAACAATGTCCGTCGGTCGAGGAGGGTGATCGATGGCGATGTCTAGGCAGACATCTGTAACACATGTCCTAACCATCTCACTCAATCGATGTAACTGCTTCACTACCTCATCATCGATTGATTTTTCCTCCTCCTTACCTAGAACTCGACTGATATCTCACCAACTCAATATTATTCACCCTATTACTTCAGAAAAGACATAAGGACTTTACATGCAAACAGAAGATATACTTTGATTGCA